TTTCACTTGCCCAAGTCTTGAGAATGTCTCGAGCGAGACGCTTGGTTTCACGCCTCCATGTGGCCCAGACAGATGTCTAGCATGAGGATTTGTTGAGGATGTCTCGAACCAGAAGCTTGTTTTCACGAGTCCAGGTCGCCTAGGCGGATGTCTAGCATGAGCATGTGTTGAGGATGTCTCGAGCGAGACGCTTGTTTGCACGTGTCCAGGTTGCCCAGGCGGATGTCTAGCATGAGGATGTGCTGACAACGTCTTGAGCGAAACGCGTGTTTTCACGTGTCCAGGTCGCCCAGGCACAGCACAGCCCTCGGCACGGTACATCAATATCGAAACCCTTAGCATTGCAGTATGGCATGTTGCCTGGCACGTTCCGCGGAGCGTCCCGTGGCGAGTCCCCCTGGCACGTCGCGCGGCGCACGTCCATTGGCACGTTCCGTAGCGCGTCCCCTTGGCACGTCCCGCGGTGCGTGCCCATGGCGCGTCCCCTGGCACGTCGCCTGGCGCGTCCCTTGGGACGTTCCGCGGCGCGTCCTCTTGGCATGTTCCCTCTGTCGATTAGTTCTGGGGCAGTTGCCATCTGCTCAGGCAGCTCGAGCTTACGATCTAGATCAGTTCGGTGAGGACTCGGATGCCAGGGGGGACTCGATCCACAACGCTATATAAATCACAATCGCGGCATGGCACATCGCAGTTCAGCACGGCCCAGCACAGCACAGCCGTCGGCACGGTACATCGAGATCGATACACTCAACTATGCACCTTGGCACGTTCCTTGGCGCGTTCCGCGGCGAGTCCACCTGTCACGTCGCGCGGCGCGCCCCCTGGCACGTCGCGCGGCGCGCGTCCACTGGCACGTTCCGTAGCGCGTCCCCTTGGCACGTCCCGCGGTGCGCCCCCATGGCACGTCCACTGGCACGTCGCCTGGCGCGTCCCTTGGGACGTTCCGCGGCGCGTCCTCCTGGCATGTTCCCTCTGTCGATTAGTTCTGGGGCAGCTGCCATCTGCTCAGGCAGCTCGACCTTGCGCTCCAGATCAGTTCGGTGGGGACTCGGATGCCAGGGAGGACTCGATCCTCAACGCTATATATAGAGCACAATCGCGGCATGGCACATCGCAGTTCAGCACGGCGTAGCACAGCACAGCCCTCGGCACAGTACATCATCATCGATACGTTCAGCATTGCATGCGCCCGTCGCCCAAATCAGGTGTCTTTGAAATGTTGCAATGCCTTGCATTTCTATATTCCTTTCCGGGTTCGTGGGTCGATCATGTTCCAGATCCAGATCTCGGCGCCCACAAACTGCTCCAGGAACGAGTGCCCACGGATAGCGTCGCGGGCACTGTGGCCCCTCCCAGATCGAAGACCCCGAGCGAGTTTGAGGCAGCAGGCAACTCGTTCTTCAAGCGAATGGGCTCCAGAACGCGAGATCTGATACCGAACGGCACCGGCGGCAAAGTGAAACAACAACGTCCTTGATCCCCGGCAGCTGGGAGTCGAGGTCTCCCCCTAGTTCTGTTGGAACTAGAAGGTCCTGCACGGTGTCGCGAAACGCCTGGTGGCGAGCGATCCAAGCTGGAATGGGGGCGGGACCTGAAGGCTTCCATGGCTTTAAGAGTAAGAAAACGGGAACATGATCAGAGGGCTTGGACAGGTCCGAAGCAGGCCACACAACCCCAGAGGATGGGCACAGGTCCAGGATGTCCTGGGACGGAAGCGAGCAATAGATCCTGTCGAGCCCCCCATGCGACCAGGCCCCGTCCCTCTGCAGCCTGTGGGTGTCTCCATCTTGCGAGATCTCCGCTAGATAAGGAAAAGTAGAAGTAAACGTCGAGGCGAGCCTGCTGGTAGTCGGACCCTCTAAACCTGTTGAACCATTCATTCTAGATTCTCCCGCGGCCATAAAATTGAAATCGCCAAGCAAAAACGTACTGATCTTACCTGGGTCCCCGAGCTTGTTTCTCAACTTCCCCAGAATCTCCTTTACCTCATTGGCGCCTAACTCTGGGTCTATAAGGACATCCACGAACTGCACGCAGCCCTTCTCTGAGAAGAGCCTCAAGTAACTGATCCTACCTGGTGCGACGATCTTGAATACGTGGCGACTGAAGCTGCGGAGGCACTGCTTAGCAATGAGGATGAGGTTGCCGCCCGCCGAGGGAGAGGAGCAACAACTGCCGAAGGCTTGATGGGATCGAAATTCACGCCGGAGATGTTCAATACCACCCCCCCTCCGTGAGATTCCTGGATACCGAGGGCCTGGAACATACGAAGCAGGGAACGCATATGACCGATTTTACGTCGAAGGCTGGCTTGATTGGAATGGGCCGAACCCAAGACAGTCTGAATGTTCCAGGAACACACTCCCAGCGGGCAATCAGGAACGAGCGGGGCTTCAAGTTCGCCTCGTGGAACAGATGCTCCACCAGAAGAGGCAGCAGAGGGCGGGGGGAACTAGACATGCATGCACAGGCTGCACAGATGGGGGGCAAGCAAGAGCGGCCCCCGCCTTCGCCGACCGTGCCGCCCGAGCTACGGACATCACTCAAATGATGCGCAGAGCTCTCCCTTGGCATACGGCAAGCATCAGGCACCTGACTCGCGCTCGGATCGGCAGACCCACCGCGTTGATGATCCACCCACGGCGTAGTCACGTCGCTCACAAGGTTGCCTTCCCGACGAAAGTGCCGTTTGGGAAGTTCCTATTGGCGCACTGGTTGCTGCGCACTCGCGAAGATCTGCTGGATGTCGTCACTCGTGATGCCCCGACGGTTGAGCTCATCCTGCACAGCCTGGAACTCCTCGGTCATTGCATTCCTCTTGTGGAGGCGAACGATCACGAACACGTCTGACGGGGTGGCGACCATCATCTCACCCTTGAACCCGTTCACCCCCTAAGCGGCACTCTGGAGTCCACTGGGTATGGCGACGCAGGAGTGCCAAGATAGGTTGGTACACGTGCGATATAGTCCTCTGTCGATCTCGAACATCGATCGTCAGGTCCTGTCGAACTCTGAGCTGATGAACTCGGCCGCCCCGCGGGCCGTTCCACTGCAGCGCGGTCGAGTTGACGTTCTCCGCGAACTGCTTGGCAGCCGCGAGCGTGCGGAAAATGATCTTGTAGTTCTGTGCCACCGAATGGAAGATGCCTTCAGCATCTGTCAGTAGATGAGGATGTGCTTGAGTTAACTGGCGATAGTGAGCTTCTCGAACCGTCTTGTGAACAGGCCGAGGAAACGTACCGATGAACCTCGCCAGCGGTCTGGTCGCAGCCTGCTGACCGCGTCCAGGTTCGACAGGCGATCTGCTGGAAGATGGCTCAGCAGACGACGGCGCCGAGCACGACTGGGCACGCATCTCGTCCAGCTGCGACTTCAGCCCGCTGAACTTCACGTCCACCGCGGCGGCCACAGCCTCCTTCATGCTCTCCTGGTAATTGTTCTCCACTGCCTGCAGCCTGGAGTTGATGGACTGAACGTTCCGATCGTGCGTCGTGAGCGCGGTCCTCAGCTCTTGGATCTCGGTCTCAAACGACTGTTCAAATACACATAGGCGTTGGTTGGTGCCTTTTACATCTTAACTTCCGCGCCCACGGAGGTGGCGATTCACTGGTCCGACCGCCGCCACGACGGCTGCGGCTGTGTGACCTGCTGCTGGAACTCGGTGAACTCATCCTATATCTCGAAGTTGTCTCGCTGATGGGCCTCCTTCGCCCATAGGATGGGCTGTGGCTAGATGACACCCGCTGGGCACTCGGGCTGGTGAATGATCGGCTCTGCCCACTTCGACGTTCAGCACGGGTCTGCTTCTTCACTCCTTTTGGCGCCATCCCGCGGATGTAGATTGACCGACACAAAGTTACAGTACAGGGGCAAAATGCTTGTACAGTGTGATATGCAGCGAATGCGGAGACCCTTGTCCTTGGGCAACTCTCCAGGGTCTCACTCGCGCGCGGCGGGCAAGGCCACTTGAGTCGGGGGGTAGAGTTCCCGATATGGCCTTGAGCCAAAATGGCTTGAGCCAAAATGGCTACGGAGGAAAGGGAGGAGAAAGGGAGGAGGAAAGGAGACAGTGGAGACAGTGCCGAGAGCGTGCAGGTGAATCACGAACACGCCTCGAAAAAAAAGAAAAGGGACGAGAGAGAGACCCTCATCCAACACGGGGCACTCTCTGCGCCGTGCGCGGGGCTGGGGAGCAACGGTGCGAGGGTCACTAACGGCGCAACGCCGGGCAGTCCCCACTCGCACCGCGCCCCCCAACCCACGCCTGCACAACCGCCCACTATGCAGGTGCCTCGGGCTCGGGCGCCTGCTGCGGCATCGCAGGCTCCCCGAGCTCCGAGAAGACGAGCGGCTCGAGGGGCTCGCCCGTCTTGGGATGCAGGCCCCTTCGAGCCTGCTCGAGCATCGACGCGATAGCTCCGTCCCCCCCACTCCCAGCTCCCGCCGACCCCGTCCCAGCCCTCTTGCACGCTCGAGACAGGCCGACCGACAGCCGATTGGGGCGCACAGCGTGCGCCCCGCACTTTACACAGATCAAAACTCGATCCAAGGCCTGGACCTGGTGTCCTGGCCCGACCTCCTGGGGGTCGCATGCACGGGAGGCCAGAGACTTCAACGACGAAGCCGTCGCTGCAAGCCTCCAGCAGGCACGACATCGAATCGCTCCCCCAGCGAAGACCACAAAGTCGTGATCGGTCGGCCGCCGCGGACGGCGGGGCCGAAAGACAGCCTTCGGAGGCGCACGGAGTATCGGGGTGGAGAGGCGGGCCACGCGCTCGGCAGCCCAGGCCAGACAACGCATCGTGTCCTGGGCCCGAAGCAGAGAAAATTTGTGAGCCTTGACCACGGAGGTGGATCCAAGGAAATCTGCCGCAGCCACGCGGGCGAAAACATCAGCCCACATATTACCGAAAAAGTTCTCCAGGGGCTCCTGGGAAGCCAGGCAGGCATCAAACCCCTCGATGACGGTCCGATGGGCCTTCGTCCAAACAAACACGGGCCTGACAGGGTCGCCTCTATACAGCTCGTGGATGCTCCGCCAGATGGACGCGTGAGGCGCTCTGGCAGAAGCATGACGACCCTCCCAGGCCATTCCCTCGACCTGCAGCTGTAAATGATCAGTCACGTACGTGGCTGGCCTCTGGGCCCTCTGCAGGGCCTTGAGACCAGCAACGCGCTCGGCCCTGGGCACCGTCTGGATAGGGCCCCCCAGGCTCCCGAACAAAGCTTTGTATGGCCACAGGTCTCGGGTCAATGCCACGACGGCCCAGCCACAGCGCCGTTCCTCAGGGAAATCACTTTCAAGACAGGACCCGTCCCCGTACAACTTCGACGGCCACGGCATGTCGATCGCCCCCCACTCGCGCTCAGCCTGAGCACGTGCAGGCAGCGGCCTGAAAACAGGCCTCAGGGGCAGCGCGTAGAGCACGTCGATGGCCGAGAAGTCCTGCACCTGGCCCCCGTCGCGCCACGGGGCTGCCTCCAGGATGTCCTTCCTCCTCTTGGCCACCTCCTCGGGGTACGGCTCCGTCTCCTCGTCCTCCTGCTGCTGATGCAATACCTTGCAGCCGAAGATCTCATGCTCGAGGTCGCAGCAGGCCTCCCCGCAGAACTCGCACGACCGTCGCCGCCGTAGCCAGCCTGCATGCGGCGCTGCGGCGACCAGAACCCGTTGGACTGCAGCTTGGCCAGAGCCCCTCTGTGGCCAGGCGCCAAGGAGGCGTGTCCCAGTCGAAGCGCACGAAGCCACACATGCTGCTGCCGCCTGCCGTCACCATCGGCTGGGGGCGCCTCAGGCAGCTGGTCGAGGATACGATGGCTCTGCCAACGGTCGAGGCTGCGACGCAGGAAAAACAGCACCTCACTGGGACAATACTGCAGCAAACTGATATGCAGGCCCTCATCGTCAACCAAGATTGTAGAACTTGCCATGTTCCAGTTGACTCTCCTGAGGGACAACCACAAGGCCGACAGCGGGCCCTGCGCACTGGCCCACGTGACGTGAGTGTGGCGGGCTTCCCAGGAGTCACGCAAGCCCATCCAGGCCCGCTGCAGTCGGGAGAGCGTCACACGCCCATCCCACACCCACGCCGCGTACTGCCCCACGATGCTGAAGGTGGCGTGGAATATGGGGTCGAAGTTCCACTGCTGCGCGGCCAGGTACAGCGTCAGGGAGCCCGACCCCTTGTAGCCACAGAAGACGCCAGCCATGGTCCTCATCTGCTGCAGCTCCGTGTCGCTGATGCCGCTGACCGTGGCCCCGTGCCCCACGGATGGCAGCACACCCGTGGCCCAGAGCCGAGCCGCCCGCTGTCGTCCTGCTCCCTTCTGCAATGCTCGAACGCTGGCCTTCTTGCCGTGCATGGCCTTCAGGCGTCCCTTCTGCACGGCCCTAGTGGCCGACGACCCAGCTAGGTCGTGGCCAAGATACCGCATGTGCCTCTTGCCAGCGATCTTCAGCAGCCTAGCGTACTTCTGAAAGTGGTAGCTGGTGCGCCTGGACGTCGTAAGGTGCCCAGACTTATCCATCTGCAGCACCAGCCCGAGGGGCCGGACAGCCCTGCAGAACGCACGAGTGGCAATGGCCATTTCTCGCACCCCGCTCGGGTCGTTGCCGACCCAGCACAGCGCGACGTCGTCCACCAAGTCCTTGGGCTGAACCTGAGGAGCGACCGACATCGTCTGGCGAATGCTGCGAGTCAACAACACCATGAGAAGCGTAGTGGCGTGGGTGCAGCCTGCCAGGATGCCCTGATACGCCCTGCGCGCCACTGAATACGAAGAATACGAGTACACCGAACGCAGCTGCTGGTACATCTGCACAAGCATGAACGCCATTCGCATAGGATATCCATTGGCCCTGCACTCCAACAAAATGGCATCATGCCTGACCAGCTCGTAGCATTTGAGCATGTCCAGCAGCACAATGATGGCGTCGTCATCGCACAGGGTCGCCATCTCCTTGGTGAGCGCCAAATCAAAGGCCGCATCACTCGACGACTTGCCTCCAGTGTGGCCCCAGACCTCTGGGAGCGCATGGGCCTTCTCCCACGCTGCCGAGACAGGCCGCCTCGCCCGTCCCCAGATCCTGACCAGCGTGTTCATCAGCACAATCAGGCGCTCCCCACCCCCTGGCTTGGGGAGTCTCACGAGCTTCGAGAGGAATCTGCCGTCTGGCCACAGCAGGAGGTGCTCGCACCGCTCGAAGAGGCGCGCCATGGCCGTCAGCGCCCCGTGGGAGAGGTGCTCCATGGCCCTGGGCGCGATGTTGATCTGCCCGACGCCTGTCTGCCAAGAGAAACAACGGATTGCCTTGAGTACGTCGGCCGCCTCAAGCCTTGGCAGCTGCTCCCAAGTGTCAGCATCAACAGGTCGGCGAGCCAGCTCACCGCCATGCCGCACCCAGAAGCTTTCCCAATATTCAAGCTTACGATCAGCCAGTACGTACCCATGTTGTAGCCCATTGCCTCCGTCCACGATCTCCTGGAGAGCCTTGGGCTTCATGAATCGGTGAGCTCCCTTGGCTCCAGCCACAAAAGCTGCCTGCGCCCACTGCCTCCAGCTCTGCATCACGGCCTTCTCATGCTTGGCCTCAGCATCGGAGGAGATACTCAGGATGCGGTCGACCTGCTGCTCGAAGTCTGCCTGCGCTAAGGCAAGTATGCCACGCGAGAAGAAGCCGACGGCCTCGGCGTCCAGGTGCGGCCAGACTCCCTTCCTCCGCCAGATTCTCTGGAAGAAATTCTCGCACTCCAGCAGGTGGCGCGCCGCCTTGGAGTGCACGGCGTCCCACGATAGGTCCTCGCCTGCACGTCGCGGGGGCTGGTGTCGCTGAGCTCTCGACCGAGGCCGACCACCATCGGAGGAGAGACCAGCCACTCCGACGACCTCCGCAGCAGGGGGTGCCCCATCGCCCAGGCCAGGCACTCCGTCGACGTGCGCCTCGCCGACGCTGCCGAGCTCGAAGACCTGCTGCGGGCGAAGCTGGAGCACGAAGCTCTGCAAGGCCACTCGAACCCTCCTGAGGTGACGAGCCCAGCGCGCAGCCTGCGCCCAGGCCTGGGTGTCCGCCGACCTCCTGCTCCAGGCACCTTTCACGACAGGGTGAACACTCGCCAGCTCGAAGGTCGGGGGGCCTGGCACCGTGGAGTACCCCGCCACGTCCTTCACGACGTCGTAGCGGCCCCGCAGCTCGAACTCGATGCCGCTGAGCACGACGTCCCAGGCCCTGGTGATGCCCTCGCTGTCCGACGCGCTCTGGATGATCGCCAAGATCGGGTCCCAGTCGGGGGGGACCTCGCGCACCCCGCAGCAGGCGGCCTCCGAAAGCCGCGTGGCTCGACAAGCCTCCTGACCTTCGCGTCAAAAGCCGTGGCGGAGAGCTCCATGGTCACTGGTAGATGCGGCCACGTCTCCGCGTCGACGACCACTGGTTGCCGAACGCGAGGCAGCAAACGGCAAGAAACCATGAACATGTCAATGGTGCGGCCAGGAAGGCTCTGAAGACAAGTCGGCTCTCTCGGCGCCAGCACCACGCCATTGGCCGACTGGAGCCAGGACAACGGGCCGAGCTCGCCTACCTCCATGTTGAAGTCGCCTCCTACGATCCACGGAACGCCCATGGCCTCCAGCGACCTGACATACTGGTACAGCTTGTACAGCATGGCCAGGTTCTCGGGCGACAGCTTGACGTCCACAATGAAATAGCACGACAGCATGACGAAGCCGCCCTTCACCCCAGCGTGGACATGGGCCGCCATCATCCTGCCTTCCTGCAGCACGTGACTGTCCAGGCCTGGGGGTTTGGTGATGACCACCCGCAGCGGGGCCAGCACCGCAACCCCGCCTCTGCTGCCAACTCCCTGCCCAGGTAGGGCGGGCTCCCATATACCATGGTACCCAGCAGCTCTTACTTTATTCTGCAACTTCGCCAATGCATCGCCCTCGGTCTTGGCATGATGTTCCTGCACCGCGATGCATAAACTCGAGCACGTGGGCAGGAAATCGACGAGCGGGCCGCCCGAGGACACGTTCACGGTGGTGATACTTGAAACCGAAGCCATGGTGCGACAAAGGAGGACGAACCACACAAGACACGCAAAACATCGCCGTGGAGCCATGCTAGGCAGGGGTAAGCCTGGGCCTCTTGACCTTGGCACCCCAACGCATGAAGATCTCCTCCAGCCTGTGCTTTTCGCCCCCAGCCGCAACGACTTCCTCCATGAACTCAGGGTCGTCGGAGAAGGCAGATGGCTGTGGTGTGCGAGGCGCTGCCGCGTCGTCCTGCCGCTCGGCCTGCTCGACGTCGGGGCCAGCCTCGGCCCCAGCATCAGCCTGCGCCCTCTGGGCAGCCAACTTTGCCGCCTCCTCCTCCTGCAACCTCTGCAGCTCCTGGAAGCTCGCCGTGAGGCTGCCCGACAGCTGGTGATCGGCGCCCAGGCTCTGGAGCAAGACCCCGAGGCCCTCGAGCGTGGCACCAACCCCCTTGATCGGCTCGTCGAGCGACGCCTTGTCGCCAGGCGTCGGAACCTGCCCTTGAAGCCTCTTGCGCTCCTGGTCCAGCTCCTCCATGCTAGCGTCGAGGGCCGCCAGCTTGTCCCGTGTGAGCCGTTCCTTCTCCTGCAGGTCGCGCATCTGCGCCTGCAGCCCATCGAGCTTGGTCTGCTGGTCGTCGCGCAGCTTCTGCAACCTGGTGAACTGAGCTCCCATCTCGCGCAAGCGCTGTCCGAGCGGTCGGGACTCCGCCACCTTAGCACGCAGCTCGGCCTGCTCGGCCAGCAGCTTGTCGCGCGTGGCCACGACCGACGGCTCGGTGATGCCCTTGAGCTTGCCGATGAGGTCGCCGACCTCGCGTAGCCTGTCCTTGGCGACGGACTCGGGGCCGTCTCCGTCCGCGGCCGGCTCCATCTGCACGTCCTCCCCGCCAGGCGGCGGCCTCTGCACAGCGGCAAGCCGCTTGCGGGCCTCGGCGAGCTCGGACTTGAGCTTGGCCACCTTGACGGAGTCGTCCCAGTAGCCGTTGCCGCTGCCGCCCTGATTGCCCTTCCTCCGCTGGGAGGGGGCCGAGGGCTGGCGCACGCTGTGGAAGACCAGTCCCTTGCCCAGCTTGCACTTCGCACACTGCCGCGCGTCTGCATGATTCCACCACGGTCTCCCCGAGGGCCCGCAGCAGCTCTTGCAGTACCAAGGAAGCGCCTGCTCCGAACGGTAATGCGGCGGTGGCATCTCCACGACACCAGGCAGCAGCACACACGGTGGGCCGTGGCAGCGCGATCTGGAAAGGACTGGGTGTGGGCGCCCAACTCCCACGGTGAAGGCGAGCGGTGGTCTGGCCGCGGACTAGCGGTATCCGTGCGGTCCCCAGGGGAACCAATCATCTTGAGCCAAAATGGCTACGGAAGGGAGGAGGAAAGGGAGGAGGAGGAGGAGGAGGAGGAGGAAAGGGAGGAGGAAAGGGATATACCAGCGCCGCTGTCAAAAGCTTCACCTCCCAGGAGCCGCCTCCCGGCAGAGGGCGCCGAGGGAAGCCCCGAGCTCCTGCCGGGAGCCCCCCTCGCAACGCCACCGCGGCGGACGCCCCAGCTCCACCTCCTCCTCCTCCTGGCCCTCTTCCCTCCTCCTCCTCCTCCTCCTCCTCCTCCTCCTCCTCCTCCTCCTCCTCATCCTCATCCTCATCCTCATCATCATCATCATCATCCTCGCCCTCCTCCTCCTCCTCCTCCTCCACCTCCTCCTCCTCCTCCTCCTCCTCCACCTCCTCCTCCTCCTCCTGCTCCTCCCTTCCTCCTCCTCCTCCTCCTCCTCCTCCTCCTCCTCCTCTTCCTCCTGTCGTGGGCGCGCAAATATGAGGGACAGGCCCGACCGAAGCCCAGGAGACCCCCAAGACGGCCCCGAGAGGGTTCCACGGGGGAGCTCGAGGGGACCCTCGGGAACATGGCTGGAGACCCGCCCCCAAGAAGGCCTCGAGCTCCCCGCACCCCCCAAATCGGGGGCGCGCAAACATGGATTAGCGATCCACGGCTGTGGCGCGCGGCCGCCAAATCCACGGATCGGGGGAGATACCCTCCCCAGAGTGCGGCCGGCGCCGCCTCGCTCGGCGGCGGTGAAGCCGCGATGAGCCCTGGAAGCGGGACCCGTCGCTAGTCCACGCCCCCTTGATCCGTGTCGGCGATCGCCTGACCCTGGGCCCTGCCCGTGCGCTGGGCTCTTCCCCCCTCCAAGACAGGGACAACACCGGGCAGAGAGAAAGGGAGCGAGGGTCAAAAACGGGTCTTACGCGAGATGGCGTAGCGACCCTACGCGGTGGCTTACGCGGGCCGCGGGAGCGGCACGCCACGTTGGAGACGAAGGCGCTTACGCGCGAGATTACGCGGGCAGCTTACGCGCCAATGTCGGCGCAGACGACCCCGTTTTCCCGGAAAGGGCGCGGGCCCAGGGTTCTCTTGTAGTTTGTAAACTGTCCCACGTGCCATGTTGGGGAAGGGCCGGCGGAATTATTCCCTGATAAATATCAAGATCGGGAAGGGCCGGTGGATTTATTTTTGAGGATGTCTCGAGCGAAACGCTTGTTTGTCAGAATGTGTTGAGGATGTCTCTCCTGGTTTTGCAGAGTTGGGGGATGTCTCGAGCGGGGGCCTCGTGGGGGGCCAGAATGCAAAGGA